GAGAACTCACAGGAGCCTCCACCCAGGGTGGCTGGAGACTCGGTGACCGTGGAACCACAGCTGAGGTAGCAAGTCCCTGGCAGGGGTGTCTGTAGAATCCCAGGTGTTATCTGAGGGCACCCTGGGTTGAGGTGAGGCCTGGCTCCCAGTTACAGCAGCTCTCCCCTTAAAAACGCTAGGCTTCTGAGGGCGAGCCGGCCTCCCGGAGCTGCTTACAACGGTAGCAGAGGCTGCCTAGTTAGGCGAGTCTGATTAGCCTGACCCCGAAGGTCCTGCGGGATCTATCTGTGCCTCACTCACATACACACACACACACATCCCACATGACCACACACTCCTCTTTTGGTCCCTCACTGACTCACGCTCTCTCCCTCACTGCCGCCTTCTTCCTGCCTCTGTAGTTGAGTCTGGGGTGTTATTGACCCGTTTGTGGATGGAGTTTCCTCTCCAGGTTTCTGGTTATGAGGCTCACTCTCTAGCACCTGGCCAGACAGGATAAAATTCACCTCGACAATACACAACACAAAGGAACCAAAGCACGAATGTACTCACGACAATAATAACCCCACTATAAGTGACCACCTGAGAAAAGAGAATTAGGGGCAAGAAAAGAGAGTGTAAGTGATATCGAAGAGAGCGAAAAAGATGAGAGAAAAAAAAAAGGAGATTATATATAAACACCACAGAACCAATAGGTAAACAAACAAAACAAACAAAATAATAATAATAAAAAATAAAAAAAATACAAACACCAAACCCCCAGCAAAGAGGGTGGGGGCAGAATCTGAAGATGCTGAGCTTATATATTGAAGATAAGGTTAAGAATTAGATGAATATGGGGAGGATCTCAGTTCAGTATAGAGGAAGTAGAAAGGGGATGGGTAGATAAGAGGAAAGAGAATGAGAAAAAATAATAATAAATTTACAAAAAATTTGATTTTAAAAATGGTATAAAATAGCAAATAAAAATAAAATAGAGTGATGGAAAAATAATGTGAAAAGAAATAGAAATAAAGCAACTAACAAAAACAGGAAAACAAAGAAAAAAAGAGTTAACAAAGTAATAAAAAAATAAAATGAAATAAAAATGAAAAAGTGAGTGTTCCTTTGGCTGGCTTAAGATCCCAGTTTTCTGTACTGTAGTGGTTCTCAGGATCCGATTGCTGGGACCTACATACGGGTCCTTATCCTCCCATATTCCCCCCACCCCACCCCACTCATGCCCTCACCCTTCTGGTGTCTGTGTCCATTGGTTAGGCTTATATGCATGCATACAAGTCCTTTGGTTGATCTCTCCCCCTCTCCGCCCTCCCCTACCTTCCCTCTGAGGTTTGACAGTCTGATCGATGCTTCTCTGTCTCTGGATCTGTTTTTGTTCATCAGTTTATGTTGTTCATTGTATTCCACAAATGAGTGAAATCATGTGGTATTTATCTTTCTCTGACTGGCTTATTTCACTTAGCATAATGCTCTCCAGTTCCATCCATGCTGTTGCAAATGGTAAGAATGCCTTCTTTTTTATAGCAGCATAGTATTCCATTGTGTAGATGTACCACAGTTTTCTAATCCACTATTCTGCTAATGGGCACTTAGGCTGTTTCCAAATCTTAGCTATGTTAAATTGTGCTGCTATGAACATATGGGTGCATATATCCTTTCTGATTGGTGTTTCTAGTTTCTTGGGATATATTCCTAGAAGTGGAATTACTGGGTCAAATGGGAGTTCCATTTTTAGTTTTTTTGAGGAAACTCCATACTGTTCTCCACAGTGGCTGCACCAGTCTGCATTCCCACCAGCAGTGCACAAGGGATCCTTTTTCTCCACATCCTTGCCAGCACTTGTCATTTGTTGATTTGTTGATGATAGCCATTCTGACAGGTGTGAGATGGGACTGCATTGTCATTTTGATTTGCATCTCTCGAATGATTAGTGACTTTTAGCATGTTTTCATTTGTCCAATTACCTTTCCCTATTAAATTTACTGATGACTGACACCTGAATTTTAGTCTTCCATCTTTACTCTAAACCCTGACCATTATTCATGATTCACTTTAGTTTGCTTGTTTCTTTTTTAAGGATGAACCCATCAAGTCATCTACTGACCTTCACCTTTCTCTGCTGCAGAAACTGTTATGCCTTTTCTTTAAAAAAAAAATTGCAAGGTTTATTAAGATTTAATTTACAGAATACAGTACTATGAGTTTTGACACACAAACAGTTGGATAACCAACTTCTCAATAAACAAGATATAAAACAGTTCCATTATCCCTAAAAGTTGTTTTGTGATTCTTCATAGTTATTTCCTTACCTAGGTAACATGGCACTAGCAACCATTGGTCTGCTCTGACTCTGTAGTTATGCTTTTCCCAGAGAATAATAAGTGAAATCATAAAGTATATGCTTTGAGTCTGGTTTTTTTTACATTTAACAATATGCATTTGAAATATATCCATGTTGCTGCATGTATCAGTAGTTTGTTCCTTTTGCTATGTAGTATTCCATTGTACCAGTTTGTTTTTTCATTCAATGGTTGAAGGACATTGGATTGTTTCCAGTTTGGAGTAAATGTGAATGAAACTCTATGAATACTTGTGTACAGGTATTTGTGTAAGTGTAGTTTCCATTTCTGTTTGGTAAATATTTAGGAGTGGGATTGTTTGATCATGTGGTAGTGCATGTTTAAATTACTAGAAATTGTCAAACTTTTCTAAAATGGTTGTGTCATTTTGCATTCCACCAGCAATTTATGAGAAATCCAATTTAGTAAACTTATATAGGATGAGGCTGTATATTTTGTTCGATATACAATAGAATGACATCCTAAAATAGTTTGTTTGCATTGTTAATTTTTGGAGTCCATGATCACAACAAAATAGAATTAGATTATCTTAGTAATAGAAAGAGATTTGGGGCTTGTTCGCTCTGAGGTTTTACCCAGTAGGAAAGTCTTTTCGATAGTGTTCTTGAAAGCGCTCTCTGGTTCTAGTTCATTCACTTTTCTGCCTGAAATTTCCACTCCTGAGAACTAGTACTGAATCATTTCACAAAGATTTTATTAAGTGCATATTTCCTAAGTTCCATGATAACTACTTTGTTAAATCTAAGACATCATAAGTTACTAGGGGCCCAGTGCACGAATTCATGCACCTGAAAGGAACTGTGGACCATGAGGCTGTGGTAGGCACAGGGGCGGGTCTCAGCCCATCCTTTGCACCCCCACCCGGCCCCTCCTGCCGTGGCCCCTGGTCACCTGTCTGCCCACAGCCCCACTCCCACACGCTGATGGCACTGGCCCTGGTCATACCTTCTGAAGGCACTAAGCAGTTGGGGCCGGTGCCAGCAGCAGGTGCAAATGACAGCTGCTGGCCTGATCACCCCTCAGGAGCAGGGGGAGGTGGAGAAGCCCTGAGGGACGATTGGTGCCAGCAGCTGCCACTCACTCCTGCTGATGGCACCGAGCGATCGGGACCTGCGCTGGGCGCTGGCAGTGGTTGTGAGCGACAGCTCTGGCGCCAATAGTGGGTCCAAGCGCCGGGCAGGACCACGGAGCACGGGAGTAAAGAATTTTCAGTAACCACCAGAGGCTCGCCCTCTGCCTTGGTCTGGCGCCCCTACTCACCTGCTCCACCATCCCGCCGCAGCTGACAGCCACATGTTCTGCACACGCCCCCTGGTGTCATAGGGACCGGTTGTTCTGCCATTTGGTCTATTTGCATATTAGCCTTTTATTATATAGGATAAGATGCATCATTTCTTCATGTTCTATGTGAAAAAATGTTACTTTTTTTTTTTTACTATGATACATCTACTTGAATATGCATCTTGATTATAGAGATGTTAACATGTCTTTTTAAAGCATGATTTATGGAACATTTCTAGAGTAGTATTTCTGCATTTTTACAATTTAGGAATATCACTGAGAAAATATCCTTTATCTTTCGTTTTTCAGATCTATCATTCTACCTTTAATATTTTCCCTCCCTAATTTAAGCATTCTTTAAGTAGTTCCTTTTCTTAATTTCCCAGTTATTTTGCCATTCTGGTCATTTTCCTTTGGATGCCTTGTAGTTTATCAAAAAACTGCTTAAAATTTAATATAATACAGATTTCAAAAAGAAAATTGCAAAAATCTTAAAATTAGTATATCCAGAAAGTAGGACACTATGTAAGTTCGTGAATGAGGTTTTTAACTTGACAAGATTTTCAATAATTTTTTAAAATACTCCATACCCATGAATAAATTATTGTCATGATTTTTACAAGTAGGTTAACATTTATACCTCATATTTATTTTTAATCCTCACCCGAGGATATGTTTGTTGATTTTAGAGAGGGGAAAGGGGAGGGGAGGAAACAGAGGGGGAAACATCGATGTGAAAGAGAAACATCACTTGATTGCCTCCCGTAGGCGCCCCTACAGGGATCAAACCCACAGCCTAGTTATGTGTCCCAACCTGGAATTGAACTGCAGCCTTTTTGGTGCCCTGGACGATGTTCCAACCAACTGAGCCACCTGGCCGGGGCCATCATACTTTTCATAGCAAGAATTTCTCTCCACTGGCACTCATTTACTCATTTTGGTAATTGAGGTTCAAGATGCTACTTTTTTAAGCTAACATATGTTGTTAACAAATATAAACAGAATTATACATCTTTTCTAGTTATTCTTCTCCTCTCTACAAAATGATTACAAAAGAAATCTGCCCGTAATAATTTAACCTGGGAATATTTCTAAATGACAAAAATGTTTACCTGTTTTAGTAGTGAACATTTACATTTGAATATTTCTTTATAATAATGTAATTTCTGATAGTTATTATATGACTGTTTATTATGTTATGTATTTCCTAGTTCAAATTAATTCAACTAAAGGAAAAATGACACCTTATAGTATGTTAAGTTTATAATTTGCTGATTCCTATAGAGTTTATGGTTTTTTGTTATTGTAAAATTAAGCTTTCTTTCATAGTTAATATTCTTTCTTTCTTTAATAATACAGGTTTTGAGAGTATTTTAGAAGGGCTTTATGGACCACGGCTACGAAGAGACCTCAGTTTATTTGAAGGTAACGTTTTATTTCAAAATTTTAACCTTCTGTCCCATTTAACAAATGAGAAATGGTTGTTCTACACTAACTTTATACTAAACATGAATTTGTGTTATTGTTTAATTAAAAATATTTTAAATGAATACATAAAAGTGATTCCTATTATTACATGATGTTATAATCTTTAAAAAATTTAGTATACTGATCAAAATTGTAAATGAAGTTTGTTTTGGCTCAGTGGTAAAATTTGATTTTTGTCATTTTATACATTACATTCCCTGACTACTTCTTAAAGAGGACTTAAAAGGGTTCAGTTGCCTGTTGCTTATGATACAGGCATTCTAGAACTCAGATTGTCACTCTGAGAAATCCTGCCATATGTGTTCAGAGTTTTCTATTTATGTGTAGCCTCCTCTATTTATTATAACCCACCCTTCCAAATGTTGTTGCATAAATCCTGGTATAAGATTTTGATCTGCATTATAATTGCTGTGGCAGCATAGTTTAGCTGTTTTACTGCTTGCTTGGAAACCTAGAGCACTAGGAGAGAACATTTTTGTAGACATGTGAAAGTTTATAGTACAGTTCATTTACAAAATGGGTAATGCTAGAATAGATTTTCTACTTTGATTTTGATTGAATTATTTCTGTATCTTGTCACTTTTCAATGCTAACTCTTTTACCTTCTGCCCTACTCTGGTACCTTCCTTTCTATTAAGACCAAAGTCCTATCTAGTAGACTTAAAGGCCCTTCTCTCTGTGTATGTAAGTCTTTTGAGTTGAGGTAGTTACAGTGATAGTTGGTGTAGTCAAAAGTCTTCTGCTCATTCTTTGTTAATGTTGAGGAGGATGATTGAGCTATGAATCATAGAGCTGACAGTGTTTATGCAAGATCATTTGTCCCAACCACCCATCTTCAATCAGATGAATGATATCCATGCAGAACATGACGATAAGGATCAAGATCCCAAAATATACCCATTCCAATATTTTATCATTCTTATGGCTAAGATCTTTATCTTCTTTTAAACTTTCAACATCTCTCACTGTGTCATAGCTTAACACTAAATTAAATATTTTTACCTGTTATAAGCAAAACTGACTGTAGTTTCGCCTTTTTTTCTGAGCTTATAAATAAAGGAAAAATCTAAGAAATAAGAGTTTAACCTATGCTTGGTATTTCTTCAGCCTGCTGTTTTTCATTCATGTCAGAAGGCAGCATTATACTTAATTGCTTTCTGATAACCCAAAGTCCAGCTTGTGATTTTTAGCCTCTTGCTTTCATTTATTTACATATATCGTTCTGAATATATGTATGAATTTATGTTTCTTCAGAAATTAGTTATTATACAAAGGGCAGAATGTTCTAAGGAAATAAATACATGTATTTTATTTTTTGATGGTTATTTCTTTTGTGTACAAATAACACATGTTCATTTTAGGAAATTAGAAAATATAAATGAGCCCAAAAGTGAAAAATTAGTCCATGACCCACAGATAACCTTTAACATTTTTATAATTAAGTTTAAAATATGTTTGTATGTATTTATTTTTTTATTAAAGTAGTATATACTGTCCACATAGTATATAGTTTTTGTACCTACTATGTTTGTTCACTAGTATATCATTTGGGTATATAAAGTTCTTGGTCATTATTCTAAATGGCTGCACAATATTACATTTTGGATCTATTATGACAAATTTAACTAATTAATTGATTTCATACCCCACTGCTGTATATCTTATTCCATTTATTTTTTAATTCCAATAGATTTTGTACTTTATTTCCACTTCTGTGCCTTTATTTTTTCCCTTGGTAGGGTATTTATAAAATTAGCTAAGCTTTGTAACTCAATCTTTTTCTCTTACATAGGCACATAATTTCATTGCCCTTTCTCATCCCTAATGTTCTAGCTTTTTCCAAATTTCATAGGAAAATTCTTTCTTGCTTTTTTTTAATTAAAAAGACTTCTAATTAGTTGTTGCTTAAGTATGATTGCACTAATCCTATGTAATAAAAGCCTAATATGCAAATTGTCCCATCGGGCAGTCGTTCCATGGGGAGTTCGACCACTCAATATGACATATGCTGACCACCAGGGGGCGGTGCAGAACATGGTGGGCTTTGGCGACAAGGTGCTGGCAGCAGGCGTTCAGGTGCAGGGTGCCTGTGAGGATCCAGCCCCACACCTGCACAGCCTCCTGTGGGTGAGCCAGGCCGCAGCTGCTGGGACTGCAGGGGCCCATCGGGCTCCCCATGGGTTTGTGCAGGAGCCGGTCTGCAAAGCTGGCCAGGAGAGAGTGCGCTGCCCGCCTGGCTTTTGTAAACGCTGCTGGGCGGCCCCAAGCCCACACTGCGCCCCCGCCCACCGCCCTGGCCACGCTCACCTCATCTCCGCATGGGAACTTGGGCACCGTGACTCAGGTGGAGGGGGGCGCACGGGGCTCAGGGGTTGCCCAGGGCCCAGAGGTCAGCTGTGACCTGCCTTTCCATGCCAGACACTTGCGCTTCGATCGCCAGCCAGGCCTAGGGACCGTACCCGTGCATGAATTTCGTTATTGTAATAAATCTGTATCTGTGTAAGGATGAAGACAGCTATGTTTTTAAGGAAAATTAAAACAGTATTATCAAAGTGTAGAGCCTTTTGAAAAGCCATGTAGAAGCTATCTATTACAGCTCCAACTTCTTATCCTCTTTTAAATAAGTGTGCTTTCTTTGTTGTTACCATTGTTAAAAATGGTTTCATTTTTAGATGCTAGGACTACAAGTATAGGTATTTCTCACTATACATATCTGTACGCAGGAATCATATAGATTAGTGTATGTTTCTAAATCACTGGATATCTGAACCCTTCTTACTTCAAAACTCAGGAACCAAGTAAACTGGATAGCAAAGGATTCTTGTATATTACTCTAAATTTTTTATAAAATTAAATGCATATTATTTAAATTTTATAATACATTTAGGTTAATTGAACCACATCACAAACCTGCATGGGGAGCGTCTGCATTGATGCTCCCTGGTGCTGGGGCAGGGGCGCAGCTGGGTTCTGGGAGAAAGGCGGGCTATTAAAAAAATACTCTAAATTTCATACTGCTACCTTAAAAATCAACTTTGGCAAACAGTGTGTTTTAATACTTTTGTATCATATACTAGTGTTTTGAGAGATTTATATTTTAATTTGATTCAGATCCACCTTCAGATTAAATGGCTTTGAAAAAAGCTTTTGAATACTGCTAATTTTTAATTTGTTGGAAACAAAATAGCTTTCTCTGTTCTTTGATCTGTTGTCATGACTTTTTGTCCTTTTGAGGAAAACATAACAATTACTTTTTTTTTTTTTTGGAGTAAAGTCTCCAAAGAAACTTCGAATGTCGTAAACTTCCCAATTTTATGTACTCCTAGAAAAGTTCTCTGTATTCTGCCTTCTTTCTCCATCTCCTCAAAAGTCACTTTTCCTGCTGTCACAGGAATTTTAGTCAATTCTTTTTCATATCTTATTGATGGGCCAGCTTATTTCATCCATGGGATCATCTGATTTAATTGCCTGACTATGGATATTTTACAAAAATATTAAGACTGCAGTAGGCCTATGTGTAAACTGGCTATTAAGATCCTTACTGTGTTTTTTTGTGTGTTTTTTTCTATGTGTCCACATTTCAAAGGGTGATTATATCAGCCATCTGCAAGTTATAGCATGTGGGCCAAATCAAGCTCTTTGACTGTTTTTGGAAGACCTGTGAGCTAAGAATGGGTTTTACATTTTTAAATAGTTGGAAAAAATCTAAAGATTAATATTTCACAAGGTGAAAATTATAAAATGTTCAAATTTAATTATCCAGTTAATAATATTTTATCTGTTGACTGCTTTTGTACTACAACAGTAGAGTTGAATGGTTGTGACTGCATGGCCTGCAAAACCTAAGATATTTTCTATCGTGGTTTATAGAAAAGGTTTGCTGACCCCTGGCTTATACTACTACTGAAATTTAATCTTTTGGCTTAATATTTTTTTCCAAGTGTTAACACTATGATGATGGAGACATCAAAACTAACTTTTAATAAAATTTATTGAGTGGACTATTTGAAATGCTTAATTTGAATTAGGAACTGTGATAAGCAATGAGGAAAGAAGAATAAATAGGATCTCTTTCTACTAGGAACTCATGGCCTAGTATTGTCAAAATTTGGTAGTTTGCCAATATGAATTGAGAATCTAATACTATTTTAAAGTTATTTATATAAATTATATTATTAGCTCCGATCAATGTGTACAGAAAGATGTCTCCCAATGTATTCATCATGGTGTTTATAATGCCAAGATTAGAGAAGCAAGCTTAAATAGCCAAAAATAGGATGTTGAGTTAAATAAGTTAAATGCATCTCTTTGATGAACTGTATTTATCTTTTAAAAATGATATAGAAGTATATGTGAGATGGAAAATATTTGTGATAAATAAGCATGTGTATAATATGATTCTAATTTAAAAAAAATAGTATTTTTGAGAGCAGTTTTAAATTTACAGAAAAATCTAGTAGAAAGTATGAGGAGTTCCCATAGACTCCCTCTTCCCTTTTGTCTTAGGTACCCCCATATTAACATCTTTCATTAGTGGTACATTTGTTATAATTGATGAACTAATATTGATGCATTAACTAAAGCCTCCATAATTTTTACTAGGTTACTCTTTGTGTGTTGTACATTTGTGTGGGTTTTACCAAAATATACAATGTCATGTATTCACCATTAGAACATTAGAATATTATACACAATAGTTTGCCCTAAAAATCACCTGTATTCGCCTTTTCAGTCCTCTCCCTTGTTCCTAAACCATGTCAAACATTGATCTTTTCACCGTCTCTATAGTTTTTTCTTTTCCAAAATGTCATATACTTGGAATCATGCAGTGTTTAGCCTTTTTATACTTCTTTCACTGAGCAATATGCATTTAAATTTCCTCTCTGTATTTTCATGGCTTCATAGCTCATTTCTTTTTATTGCTAAATAATACTGCC